GAGCCGGTTCCTGAGTCTGGCAAGCAGCCTGCTGTAAATGGCCTGCTATCGACGGGTCTAACACTCCGTTTCCGTCTGCACTCCCTGGGGACGGAGACCCACAGAGCCAGTCGCCGATCTGGAGAAGGGAGGGGACCGACGGGAGCAGGGGCATCTGCCTGACCTTCCACAGCGACGGCCGGTCCTGCTCGCCCTGGGCCCGGTTAGGTGACCGAGGAGGCGGCACCGAGAGCCTGAGTGAACGTGGGGCAGGTCGTGGGGTTCGCCCCCGCACCCGTGCAGCTCCCCGGCGTTGGCTCTGCTCCCGCAGGTCCAGGGCAGCGGAAACGGGGATTTTTTAAGTATAAACACGAACAAAGCCAGTCCTGGTTGTGAAAGCACCGCATCCTGGGCTTTGGTTTCCCACAGCCCAGTCGTCCGGGTGGGAAGGCAGGGAGCACCCCTCGAGGGCAGGTTTCCCAGGGCTGGCACGGAACATCCCTCACACAGCTACCGCGTTTGTTCCCTGCCTCCTGCGCACCATGTGGCCTGCGGGTGTACCTGCGGGTGTACCTGCGGGTGTGGCCTGTGGGTGTACCTGTGTGGCCTGTGGGTGTACCTGTGGGTGTACCTGTGTGACCTGTGGGTGTACCTGTGGGTGTGGCCTGTGGGTGTGGCCTGTGGGTGTACCTGCGGGTGTACCTGTGGGTGTACCTGTGGGTGCTGTGGGTGTACCTGTGGGTGTGGCCTGTGGGTGTGGCCTGTGGGTGTACCTGCGGGTGTACCCGTGGGTGTGGCCTGTGGGTGTACCTGCGGGTGTACCCGTGGGTGTGGCCTGTGGGTGTACCTGCGGGTGTACCCGTGGGTGTGGCCTGTGGGTGTACCTGCGGGTGTACCCGTGGGTGTGGCCTGTGGGTGTACCTGCGGGTGTACCCGTGGGTGTGGCCTGTGGGTGTACCTGCGGGTGTACCCGTGGGTGTGGCCTGTGGGTGTACCTGCAGGTGTACCTGTGGGTGTACCTGTGGGTGTACCTGCGGGTGTACCTGCGGGTGTACCTGCTGGTGTACCTGTGGTTGAAGAACAGTGTCTCCTGGCCTCTGAGCGGAGCAGCAGGGACGGAAGCCCCTGCGTGGACCACGGTGCAGGACACAGGGCTGATCCGAGGGACTGGCCTCGCGCCTGCACGGCCTTGCAGTGGTGCCGTCATGACTCCTCCTCTCTCTGCAGGTGCTGCTGAGCCAGGTGCATCGGCTGAGAGCCCTGGACCTGCTGGGCCGATTCCTGGACCTGGGCCCCTGGGCGGTGAGCCTGGTGCGTTTCTGCTGCGGGTACAGTCAGAAGGGACGTCCCTGTGTGGTCGAGGGTGACGTGGACGTGGCCGGTGGCCCGTGAGGCCCTGGGAGGGCGAGGTGGGCCTGTTGCCGCAGTATCGGGGTTTGGTTTCGCCCTCTTGTCCCACCTGCTATTATCAGGTGTCACTTGCAGCACAGAAAATGCGCCAGCGTGTGGCTCTCCAGGGAGCAGCTCAGGCCGCCCGGCCCCACCCCAGCCACACGGCACAGTCCCCGGGAGCCCGCGTCGCACTCGGCTCTAGGCGCGGTTCTGAGCCCTCTCCCAGTTGCCCTGCAGAGGAGGGGCGGCCGGTTAGAACAGGAAAGACGGGCAGACGCGGACCCGAGGAGCAGTCGTTTTCCAGCAGAGCAGGAGGAGAGAGCTGCTGGGAGGGCCTTTGGGTGAGGGGAGCGGGGACCTGCTGGTCGGGGGCCGTGCGAGGCCTTGTCCGCTCTGTTGCAAATAACGGAGTGACGGTGCGGGACGTCACTGCTGGAGCAAGGGCAGCTGAGGACTCTGTGCCACCGGCTGCGCGTGTCCGTGGCGGGCGGGCCTGTGTTTGCGGGCGGCCTGCTGGCCGAGGTAAACTCCGTGTTCGCAGTGAGGTGGGGTGGCTGCCCTGTGCTCGGCCCGACTGAGAGGGCAGGCAGCTGCCGCATGGGCTCCACGTTCTCTGATCTCCGTGTGTGGCTATTTAAGTCTCCTCCTTACATAACGTCATCGCAGGCGGCTGAGCCACAGGCCCCTGAAGGGGAGAGGATTGGGAGGGACAGTCCGGCCCGGCACGGGTGGCCCCCAGGCGCCCGCGGCAGGGTCTGCGCACCTGTCAGCGTCACGCAGTCCCCGGGAAAGCAGCAGGGAGATGGGTGTGGATAGCATCTCAGAGAGGCGTTCATCCCGTGGCTGACGCGCACACAGCTAGCTCTGGCCCGGGGGAATGGAGCCAGGCCAGGGGGCGTGTGACTCACTGGGAAAGCGAGGCCCTCAGGTGAGGCCTGCATGCCCGTCCTCGTTAGACGTGGCCTTCAGCAGCGGGCACAGCCCTGCTGTGGCCGACGGCCAGTGTCCCGCCCCAGGAGGGGTCCTGTCCGGGGAGGCCTTGTCCGGGGGGCCCCTGTCCTGGGGAGGCCCCTGTCCCAGGGGGG